GTATCATTATTACTTTGCAAAATCTCTTCACAATTATTAATGTTGTTCTCTATATAAACTCAAGTAATTCTTCTATTCAATACAATATGTTTCTACTATAATGACATTGCTATTCTTAAATTTACAAAAAACATATTTCTAAACAATGCATATATATATATATATATATATATGAGCATGTAATACTTTTCTAAAAATATATTTTTAATAATTTCTATACAGGTGTTTTAGAATTATCATACAAAATACAATTTTCTATCATAAGTTTCTTTTCTGTTCATATTTTTAAGAAAACATAATCTATAATACCATGTTGTTTCTTATAACAATAAATAGCCTTATTTCTACTAATCATATTGTAACAAATGTTTGTGGAGATTGTTGTATTTGTCTACTATTTTTATACCATCAATACTTCCATCTTGTTAACATGTTGCATTACTATATACAAGCACCAATAAATCACTCATACAACAACAATAAACTTCCATCTTTTTTCTTTTGTAGTGCTAAACGTTTCTAAAACAAGGTAAATAAGAAAGAAGGAAATATTTCTATATATAATTTTAGAAAATTTGGAATGATATATCAACCAAAAAAAATAGTCTATTCAATTTTTTTTGAACTTTAATTTTATACTATTTCTAATTAATAATGCTTCTAACTTTTTTTTTTTGTTTTATTAAATAAATAGCAATATAATACTTTTAGAACATGGCTTATTAAGGTAAGATTTGAGATGTGAAGACTTTTTTATTTGACTAAAGTCAAAAGGTTAAATTGCTTGCATAAAGACCTAAATTATAGAAGAAGGTCAACTATCAATAAACACCTAATTCAATAATTATAAGATTTTTTTTCAATTACTATGTATTATAAAAAAATAGTTTAATTATGACTCTTATTGATACTAATGTTATAAAATTGAATAATAGTTTCAATATGTTATATAGATTAAATTATCTATTTATAATTAAATTTTTGACTTAATCAATATATAACTAAATTTCAAAAATAATAAAGATATAAACTTAAGTTGGAGTTAACAACTATACAATAGCTAAAAAAAATAGATAGAATATGTAGAAGAAAAAATATATATATACTTATTTAGATGTATGCATGATCAATAATATAATTAAAATATAATGCATCTTAATAGAATCTTAATACGAAAATGGTTACAAATGTTTTTTTTATAAATACATTGAACATCCTATTTTTCATATTAACTAATGATTTTTCATATTACAAGCTTCAATTTTCTTAAGGTTATGTCTTTTGGATTATAATTTAATGAATATTTTTTTTCACTTAAATTTTTTAATTATGTAAATAGATTGTATCATAAAATGCTACTATGTAAAATAAAAACTATTCTACATCATAAGAAACCTCCAAATAATATTAAAATGATTTAAAATCTTATTTTTACTTAAAATTTTAAAAATTTAATATATATTTTATACTAATTTAAATAGATAATTTAAATAAATATGTATATTAAAAAATCCTAAAACATATTATCATTCTAAAAAAAATCTTAATTTTAAAGATTATTAAAATAATAATAATATTATAAATCAAAATTTGTAATACATTTTATTTTAAGATGATTGATATTTTTAATTTTAATTTTTTAATGTATTAGATATTGATGTTAATAAAGAAAAAATAATCTTTATAGAAAATAATAATTTTAAAATAGAAATTTTAATTGATGATAAAAACTTCTAATTTATTATCCATATTTTTTAAACATTCTTTATTAAAATAATAGTACTTAATTTTTAAATATTATATATATATATATATATATATATATATATATATCTTTTAATGAAGGATGTTATCTTAATACAAGTATTTTGTATAGTATCTAGTAAAAGAAAGAAAATAAAATCAAACTTCTTTGATGTTGTTTCAACAATCTATGAAGTTTAAAAAGAACAACAAATATTTAAATCAATATATTGTCTATGAACCACACACACACAAAGACATGTATTAAAATATTGTCTTGAAAGTGTGATATAAAGACAAAATAATCAACAATATGAATATTATTTTTTAAAATCTTCAAACTTGTACATTATAAAGACCTTTAAAAGGAAAATATCAAAAGAACTTATATTGAGAATAATAATAATTTGATATTCAAATCATTAAATAAAACAATAAAAGAATAAATATAGGATGTTAAAAATTAACTTAAAGATAACACAAATGTCATATATTTTGCCTAATTTATGTGTACGTAAATATCAAGCTTGTTTGATATTATACAAATATCCTTGTAGAGATTCTAAAAAGATACAATTATGCTTTTTTAGCCCCTTTTTAGTAAATGGAGTAAATGCATAATATATGTCCTATTTGGTATAATAGATGCCTATATTATTTAAGTAAATAGAAGTAAATAGAAATAAATTTAAATATGTAAAAATATGTTGAAAAAATAATATCTTTCTAAAAACTCTTTGAAGAGGTGTCTTGGATGAAAATTAGATATTTAATCTCGTATTGGTATGCCACATAATTATTAAAATTTCTCATATAAGTTTCTTACTTATAAAAAGTTGAATTAGAAACAATCTAGCGCTTTGACCACAAGCCTTGCAATTTCTAAGAAGCATCTATAAGACCTTTATAGCTAGTATATATGGAGGCAAGACTAAGGCCGTATTCAGACTTGTCAATACTTTTTTTGCATTCTATACTTAGCTCAAGACTCACTAACTTCTTTGTATTTGAGAAAAACTATTCTAGTCCTTCTATATTATTATTATTTCTTCTTTCCTTACTTTTTCCTTTCTTTGGTGATAGATAAGTATATTGTATTGGATTTTTTTTTTTTTTTTTTTTTTTTTTTTTTAAATTATGTCTTTTACATTTAATAAGTTCTAAGATATTATTAGAATAGCTATTAAAGATTTTTGGCAGCTTTAGTGTTTAGTCTAATAGAACTATGACTATATGTATATGACTATATGTATATGTTTTTTTAAATCTTAGCTGAAACAACTTTTTTATGTTTTGATTTCTATGTATGTGCATAATTTTTTATTTATTTTCTTAACACATTCTATTAATTGGGAAGTTATTTTTCAAAAAATCAAACTTCACGAAGCTATAATATTTATCAAATATGATTTTTTTATCTATATAAATATATTTTAAATTTAAATTTAATATTTAGGTTTTTTTTACAAAAAAATTAAAAGACATAATTTTTTTCTATTTTAGTAATATGATTTAAAATTTTAAAAATAAAAATAATTAATAACTATAGATTTTTAAAATCTTTAATTAGATTTTTTTAATAAAAGAAGATATGTACTAATAATATTAACTTGCACCATATTTGATTCTATTTGTTTTTCATAGAAAAAGTAAATAAATAAAGGTGGTACCTGAGATATTTAGTCATATAAAAAAATAAAAAAGATAATAATTTATAGTTTAATTAATTTTTTTTATAGTGAATATATATCTAGTAGTAATTGATAATTTGGTTGTGCTTTTAGAATAATTATAGAAAGTATTTACCTTAGAAAAAACTAGTACAAATGGTGACTTATTAAATAGGTAGAATTACTCATATTGATTGGCTTTGTTCTTGTAGTTAGATTTATATATAAAAAATATAATTCTTTGATTGACTTGCATCTTAAATAGTCTTTTTCAAATATTCTTCACGAAGTAAATTTTTTAATATTAAAGATCTCTAAAATAGCCATAAATTAATAAATCATTAAAATCCTACTTATTAAATGCAGAGAATAATTTGTATTGCTTGCTACTTTGCGACTATTTAGCAAACTCATAAGTGTATCTTACAAACATCAAGGCATTCAAATAAATTATTTGAAGAAGTGTATATTTAATTTTTATAAAACTTGCTTAAGATTAATGAAATAAAAAAATATAATGGATGTATCAATAAAAAATTAAAAGAACACAATTTTGCTTATTTATCAAGTAGTTGTAGTCTTTACTATATATATATATATATAGAGAGAGAGAGAGAGAGAGAGATTGTGCCATAGAATGTTTAAAGAAGAATATTAAAGACATGTCATGGTGGATGTTTGTAAAATCTCAAAGATTAATTAATTTGCCATTTTAATTGAATTGAAAGATGCATTTAGCTTTTATTAGTTCAATTGTAGTTTCTACAATTCAAATAAGAATTTCCAATATAATCCTTTAGTGATCTATAAAGGCATCAATCATATAGAATATTTTTTCTATGACTAAAGCAAATACCATCTATTTAAAAGATTACATGTTATATAAGTAATTTGGTACCTAAAGAGTAAAGTTCTTAAAATATGGCTACATTAAAAGAAGTATTTTGTTAAGAAATATAGACACATATGAAGAAATTTTATATATTTTATATATTCAATTACATAATAGCAATTATTATTATTACTATTATTATAAAATGGCACTTTGCCATAAATTTTATCAGTTGTTTGGCAATTATAATTAGAATACTAATAAATACTATACAAGGGATAATTTGAAGAAATTTCAATAGCCAATTCTTCAATAAAACATTATGGTTTGGACAATGATTGTACAATAGTATGGAAAATGACATAATAGAATATGCCAAAGATTACTTTAATTAAAATAAAGCAGTATTTACAAACTAAAGAGGCATTCTACATGTCTTTTGTTAATTAAGCTTGAAATGCATATGCAACATTCTTCTTTAAATACAACTTAAGAATTGAATGAACAATATCCTCAAATTTTTAAGTTGACTTTTTTAATGATATTTAATAGCAACTTATTAAACTTTGTGCAAAGTCCAAATACAAATAAAGACTTAAAATTTTTAACTTACCAAAGGAGATTATTTCTTTGTCACAAAATAAGGAATTAAGTTGATGAGCCCTATTGACCAAGAAATGAAGATGCAGTTATTTACTTTAAAAATATGACATTCATGCCAAGCTAGGTTTTACAACCTTTTTCTGTTCACTATCAGCACTCAAGCCAAGGCCAAAAATGTTGCCATTTTACTTAAACGAAGAACACAAAATGTAGAAAGTGTACTCTGAGCACTCGCAAAAAGAGGCCAGTATTCAAAAAATGGAGCAAGGAACTTACAGCTCAGAAACTAACTCTCTAGAATCTAAACGAGTGAAAATACCCGAACGTTCACTGCAAATCTAGAAAAAGCTCAGATTGAGAGGGTCAAAACAGCACTTAATGCCAGATCTAACAGAGGCTTACATGACTTGAAGCAAAAGTTTCTCAAAATTGTCTTGCTTTGATGCGGAGATCTTCATTGAGGCATCACCTTGTCGGTGATTTGATACGCCAGAAGACATTGCAAGCCTTGATGTTGGACTAAGAATATCGGTGACGATTCCATTCTAAATTGTCAGGTTCCACTTTGCTTGATTTGATTCGATCTACATGAACTTGTTACCGACCAGCATAAGAAACTGTTCAATTTATGTTACAGACGTAGCCTGTGACCTGGCCACTTCGATATCCGCGTTAATTTCGATCTATGATTCGCTCCACTGCCTATCTCCCAAGATTCTTGGGCAACACCTGTGAGGCTATTTCCTTCTTGATTACATACCATCAAGGTTACTGAGGATTCAGTTCAAATGTCAACTGAATCGACTGTTTTAGCAGAGGGCAAACTAGAAATAATGAGCAGAATAAGGGTTGGTCTGACCGAAATGAGGTGGTTTGACAGGTAGTCTTCTTTCACATGGTGGGAGTGTTTGAAGGTTATTGTAACTGCGATAGGTAGTTATACACACGGGAGGTTAGGAACAAAGCTTAACCACCCAGATATTAGAAAAATCTTAGGGTATCTGGGAGAAGTTACGATCCATGTAAATGCTGTTAGGATCCTGTCTGCACTTTTCCCAGTGCACAAGCTTGCATAAAAACCCCATGACCTGTAATGACGGAACACCACAATATTAGTGACCATTCCATCTATTCTGCATAAGGTGGAATTTGTTGTCTTAATGAGGTACGGGTCCTGAATGTATTGTAGGGCTTCAAGAGTTACAAACCTCAGATGGATCTCGGAGAGAAAATTTTGCTTCAGTCGGTTTGGCTACAGAAGACACCAAAATACTGCAGCCGTATTTTGTCGAATTGACTACCTGGAAATTATAATCATGAATAAGTATTAAGAAAAGAAAAGAAAAGAAAAACCATTACGCTTCTATAGTTGTTGAACAAAAAATAGTACTTTTGTATTTAGGGGAACTGAAAAATCAAGATAAATAAATATCCTTGTGAGCAGTATGACTACTTAAAGAAGAAAACATGTAAACATATGTTCAACTTCTGAGTGAAAAGCATTGCCAAAAGAATGATCTCAATGCAGAAAAAGAACAATAGAAGACACCAGGTGGAAGGTAGATGGTGCCTACCTTGAATGCATCTTCATCAGTCTTATCATCTCCAAGATATAGTGGAATTAGATCATTTGTATCTTGAAACCCTGCAGGTTAAGTTTCACAAGATTAAGTTATTCTGTATAAAAACAACAACAACAATAAATAAATAAATAAATAAAATTAAAAGAGATAAAAAATAAATAACATCGTCATATATGTATTCATTGGCTTGAAACGAAAACACTACATAATAACCCATTAATATATAACAGTTCTCACCAAGAGACTTAAGCAGAAACTCCACAGCTTTACCCTTATCCCATTCAATAGAGGGTCGAACCTCCAAAACCTGCCAGAAAGACAATGGGGTCGATCTCTGAGACACAGAACCATAGCGTGCACAACAATACAAGTGCAATTAATGGCAAACAGATGCACAAACGACAAGAACTTATGTATCATACCTTCCGGCCATGTGTCAAACTCAAAGTTGGAAACTCTTTCATAACATTCCCTACCCGCTCAGCAAGTCCCTCCCAAAGCTGTGCAGGACAACCGTAACAAAATAAGCAGATTAAGGTTGGAGTTTTAACTTAACTTCCACATAACCAGATATATTCCAACTCTCAATGCAAGATGGTTGAAAATATTAGACAGTAGAAGGATTTATACGCATTTAGGGATTGATAAACAAACCTCCTCTTTCACCCGTCGGAAGTGCACTGACACGCAAAATTTGTTATTCTCCACCTTCGCGCCCTTCACCATTTTGGTATTTTCAATCAAAGCGGTAGTAACCTGGAGAGAAGACACGCCTAAGAATCAGGCTTCCGTATAAAAATTCTCATTCGCCTCCATATTATAAATGCGAAACGCGATGCTACAGTTAATAACTTTTCCTAAAACTAAGGTATAGAAAATTTACCTTGTTGATGAGCGGCAGAAATTCACTGGCTGGCTGAAAGTTAGTTGCATCATTTCCCTGTAGACAAACAACAAAAGGTTAAGTGTGAAGAAGGTAATTACCAGATAACTATGTCGAATGAAAGAGATAAAAACAGCCGATTGTGGCCTGCGTCAACAGCTGCAGACAGCTGCTAGATTGTCAATGTTTTATACCTTCTTGTCTCTGGACTTGGTTCCCTTCACCCGAAAACCATCAGAGATATTCGATGGTCCCTGAATGTCCATGCCATGACTCCCAGCATAATACAATTCTGATAATCGCACAAAATCGTACACCTGCACCAACAATGTTGCAATTGAGAGCGTAGCATTTCCAACGACGTATCCCTCTCGTCTTAAATAGACACAATCTACAACTAAAGAATATTTTCTTCAAGGAAATGTTAAGAAAGAAATAGATTGGACAAGAGAGTTACTATTTGATTCGAAATCAGAACCGATGTCCTATAAATACCTTCGGTCGTGATCTTCCACTAATCACCGCAGTTGGAAAGCAAGACGCCACTTCTTTGACAGTAGCTCGCATCTGTTGGACACAAGATCATTTCACTATTGGTCTCAAGTAAATGAGTTAACTCACAAATCACATATGTTTCGAATCTGGTTCAGGAGTTTATACACAAAATGTGTGTTGGTTTAATCATGATGTAACAATGATACATTATTTACTGAATATGAACATTTAAAAAGCACCGGGTATCACTGAATGGCCGTCAGTACTACCCTTTCCATCGCTTAACAAAATACTTAAAAATGTACTGACCTCGGCTGACATGAAAGCCCGTTCAGGATCCTCCACAATGGGTGAAAGTGTTCCGTCATAATCAAGGAATACCACGATTTGCTTGTTGTGCGACTGCTTGATCACTCTGTCGAACGAGCTCAAAGCTGAGGGATGATCTTCCTGCGGACCTCAAGATGAATGTAAGTATGCATAAAGTTCACAGAACATGCTTGTATGCATCCATGATAAGGTGCACTAAAGATTAAGACAAAAAAAAAAAACAAAAACAAAAAATAAAAAAACAAAAAGTATGTTAAAGGCGCGAAGCCAACGCAGTCACGAAAACATCAATCAAAACGAGTACCACAGGTAAACATAATGATGCCGGAAACAAAGCGCGGAGATGCTTACGAGCCAAGATTTATAGATAGCAGCTTCAAGGTCGAATAACTCAGGAGTATCCCCGGGAAGTGAGCGAATAGGAGGCGGTGATTGAGCCCTCATTCCATCGATCCATGTATGAACACTGCCTCTGCCAGGGAAAGAGTTATGCTTTTTCGGCAGCACGATGGGAATGGGCATAGAGCAGCCAGAGCTCGCACTCAGAACTGACGACTTCGAAGGGGATGTAGGTATCACAGAAGCGACTGACAACGAAGGTCCGCACGAGGAGGTTGGAGGTTCTGCACATAATGCTGACCGCTTGGACCGTAAAGCCATGCCTCCGACAAAAGTCTCTCCGAAACTAGGACAGCTTGCTCGTAGCAATCCTTCCGATCCTTCAAAATCTCCGTGGTATCTATCAAAGCTACCATTAGCCTCGCTCACTTTAAGTACCATGATAGAAGCGGCTTGCAGCTTCCAAAAATTGAAGCAGTAGTCACTTACGTGACATGAAGGTTCCACTTGGCGGAATAGTTCTCTCAACTTTCAGAGTACTTTTAACAAACAGATCGACTAATACCTGCACTAAAAATATTAGAGGCAAACGCTAGTTCGGTTCGCTCTGCATGCCCTGGAAGATACACATGATATTTAATAAGACACTCTTACTCCAGTAAATTGAGGAATAAGTTGAAGTTGCGTTGTCGCGTTATGCAAGCAGACAACGAGTTCCGGTATTAACGAAGTGCAAATCAGACTCGGTAAAAGAAAATCCGAATCTGTTAGGGGAATTCGGCAGCCTTCACTCTCATGATCATGATGGTACAGTCGTCCTCAATTTTCATGCACTGGGACAGGAACTGCAACAAAGTAAACACAAAATGTGAAATCAGATCCAGTCCATCAGTACGTATGTGGTTTGAAACATCAAAATACAACAAATTGCATCTCATTTTCAGAACCATACCCCTTCGGCACAATGATAAAGTAGATCACGAAGTGCACTGTTGAGGTAGTTAGACAAAGAGCGCGTGCTCTAGAAGTAACCAAGGCTGCCGCAACTAGAGAAGCTTTATCTGATCGCAATCATACGAGAATGGTAGAGGTTGCTAACCACTGACTAGTCAAGTACTCCTCTAATATTTGATCTTTTTGATGTGCCTGTAGACTAACAAATATGACGGCGTCGTGAGATACGTGGAGTAATGACGTCGAATATGGTGAAATATTTCAGTACGCTTGCTGAGTCCTTGTAAAGAACCAGACATTTTAGCTTCTACAGCAAGCTTGCACTTGAAATCACTATCCACAGCGTGAATAACAATCACTGCTTGCGGTTGACATATCTAAGAAACAGAATAACCATGAAGTCAGATCTTCAAGAACTGGAGTCACAACGACACTCTCAACTGTGGCAGGGCACGAAGGATTCTCCAAACTAAATGTATAGAGTGTAAGATTGCAGCATCAAAACATTGCATGAAACCTTCTCACTCAATGAAGGTAAGGAATAAATGTCGGCACTGACAAACAGCTTCCAGAAATTCCTAATCGAGTGAAATTTTAACTTCAGCTCTGTATCCCGATGCTGGGTGAATCCTCTCATTGAATCATGCACCAGAAGAGAATGAAAGAGCATGGAGGCACTTCTGGTAGTTTTTTCATGAAGGAAGAACTCGTTAGTGTGGTTGTGAGACACAATAGAGCAGATGAGGAAGAGTGCCTACCAACCAATGATGTGTCCAGTGCAAAATTCAACAAACAACAGTGTGAGGAGAGCAGCGCACAAACACCGCACTATGCGAATCGCAGTGTCGACGCGTGCACACTAGAACGTGAGGGCAAGAATTTAACGACTGCCAGCGAATTGCTCCACTCCTCACCAACACCAGGGGAAGAACCAAACAAACCACTCCACCGAGTTGAAGTTGCAAAGCAGGGGCAATCTCAAATTCGTTAACTGCAAACCACAAGAAGAAGAAAGTGAGCATTAAGATGGCCCCAACCTGGCAAGGATAATTTTATGCTCCCTCGATCCCAACCGAACCGTCGACTGACATCCCCCAATGCAGAGTCCAGACAGACATCAGCGAGTACGAGTTCGTCAGTGGGTCAGCAACACCCGTCACTAAAGTCAGAGATCAGTCAGCCCCAGCACTATGTAATATAGTGCGGACAGACACCACCCGCTGTGATCACACCAAGCACCCACTGGCCACCCCTTCCCCAGACTCGCGGTGTCTGAACTCCTTCCGAACCAACCCTGCCACCTCGCGTAATTTCTGTGCCGCCAAATCACGCTCAACCGCCCGTCCTGCACAGTGTACGCAATTTAATGCCTCCTCTCTCCATCATCCGTTACCACTGCTTCCCATCTTCTCTACTACACCTCCATCCATTCTCCTGGCATCTTCTTTCCTACACCCTTACGATTTCCTTGTCCAACTCCCCAAAAAACTGCCAAAAATCTTCCAAAAACGACCGGTGCAAAAGACAATGGCGCAGTCCGTTGTTGCGGAACCGCTGTCAACGCTGTAATCGCATACGATACGAAAGAATCTTCTGTCTCACAGCATCCGAAGACTCAACATACACCACTTCTCTCCCGCCTTCAAAACACCTATATCATGCACTGACAGCTCCGCTCCTGTGTCTCTCTCTCTGCCTCTACCTCTACAACTACTCTGCACCTACGGTCGACGTACACGGATTAGAAAATTAACGATGCTGATTACTATCATCAATTAGCTCAGAAAGGAGCTTAAAACGAGGTTAGATAGATAGAGACTGGCCAACAAGGCGGGGGCGGTTCCTCCGAAGGGCCGAGATCCTACGGAGGGGGGGTGGTGTTCCTGTGGATGTGAGATGTTTGACAGATGGTTGAGTGGCTTGACTGGTGACTTCCGCATCGCGCGGGCTCCTGCATGGGGTTCACAGCCGGAGACTGCTATTGCTTCCTCTTCCTTCGTGTTTTTATCATCCGCGCTTTTCATCCATCTTCATTCTTTTTGGCATTTCCGATTCTCGTTCACATCCCCTCATCCTTCGGTGCTCATCCTTTTGCTTAATCTTGTCCCTAATATCACATTAATGAACAATTTCAACTTAACCCTAGTGCGTATTCCTAAATATGTTACATTGGTTGTATGGTTCCTACAAATCTCATATCAATTTAAAAACACTATTTGAATAGTAAATATGGGGTACTTAATTTAGATCATATGATGCACTGATATGGGGCTTTTCTTGGTGAATTTTAACACAACTGGGGTGTACCTGTCAAATAAAAATCTTTTATAAAACTGACATGGCATAGAATCCTGCGCAGCAAGGAAATATTGCTGAGCTGGAGTCATCTTCAGACATCATCAACTTGGTCTTGAAAACACAATTCCAATAAAAGGCCCCTTTAGGTTCATGCCCAAGTAATATACCCACTTCTTCTCCACCCTAGTTTAGGATTGGGTCTGAACATATGCTTCTCCATGGGGGGAGATATTTTGTCAGGGAATGTTATTTAGTTGTGAAACGATTCCAACTCAATCAAGCACCTTTTTCTCCCCCAGACCAGCCCAACAAATAAAAAAATCTCTACAAACCTTGCTGGTTCTAATAAAGCCCCAAGTATGAAAGCCAACTCAAGAGAGTACTGTACACTCTACATGGGACCTTGGAAATCTATGTAGAATGTTCATCAACTCTTTTTTCTTATTGTTCTTCATGCTTGACCCTTTTGCAAGCGATAATGTTCATGCCCAGCCCTTAGCCATCCGGAGAGCCAAAACCTAGTTTTGCCAAAGCCACACACAAATACCTTTGCCACAAGGTTCCTCTATTCTATAAGGAAAAAATTCATATTATACGGAGCAGAGGCTCACAAGCATCCAAGCAGAAGCCTCCAAAGTGGGGGTGCTGATTAGCAAGAGACTAAACATGTCCTGGGAGGATCTAACTAAGACTTGTCCTCTCCTGACAGCGTCTTTAGCAGAATATAGGGTTTTGTTTCAGGAAAAGCACATATGGGCATTTGCTTTCCTGTCCGCTTTTGCAAGCTAGAGCGTTGTTCCCATCTTGGGCTTCAAAGGAGTAACTCAATTATGCCACGTGGGTAGAAAATTCGAGAGTAGCAGAAGGGGTTCTTGAGTAATAATAAATAAACAAGTAAAAGAATGAATAAAGAAAAAATTGTACCCTAATTCTCAGGTGGGAACTATTCCCCATGAAGTGCACGCCACCCAATTCCGGACTGGCATTGAAGGGGACTGTGCTCAAAGCCACACGCACAAGCGAAGACTACTATTAATTAGGGTTTAGATTTAGAAACATGGACAAATCAGGGACGCAGTCATGGGGCCCAGAATTGCGACACGGTGGGGTGTGAACGTGGGATTGTGTCCCCACTGCCCGCTCCTTTTGATTCTCCATCGCTCATTCGGCACAGTGGTCGGGCAGCCTGTCCAGGGCAGGTCTGGGTTGGGGAAGTAGGTTGGGAGAAAGGGGCACTTATTTAACGGCCTACAGCTTGTCCCCTGTCAACAGGCTTTGCTCACTCGAATCCTAACCTGCTGGGAATCTTTTTCCTTTTTTTGTGCTTTTTTTAACACATTTTGTTATACTTAATTTGGTCCAGGCGGGAATCTTGCCAGTCGAACAGTGTTCCGGAATATAATGTTTGTCTTCAGTAGGGAGTTGCACTTTGTGTGTGTCTCAAAGAATAAGTTTGCCCATTTCTGTAAAATCTCCTTCTCCCACAAAAAAAGGAAATAATAATCTAAAAAAACTAAAGAAAAAAAAAAAGGGTTGCTCCGTAGATTCTTTACTGTTTGTAGGAAGTTCATGTACACTTCTTTCCTTCTAATTCTCAACTTAAATATTGAATTACCAAATAATGGTTCATGTTGCCTAATGCATGATTGTGAATATATATACCCATACATAATTGAACTGTAAACTGCTTATGTCATTGAATTATTCTGCATTTCATTTCAAAAATTGTAGATTTTTTGAAAGACACATACAAAGTTGATTAGGGTGGCTTGTTTGAAATTGGATACATTTTGAAAGAAAATGAAATGATTTGAATCCTCGTTCATCTCGTGAATGAAGTTATTGTTGTGGACAATGGACAAATCAAAGGAGATGATAAAAATGATCAGTGTGTGTTCTATTTTTATTTTATTTTATTTTCCTTCATCCTAGATGGAAAAAAGAAGAAGCTTTGTTCAGACTTACAGATCCCTTTCACAGAGTTTCAACTATACTCCACTTTCACCCAAATAGATTGGCAAATTTGCAATAAGTAAGAAACATCAACTCCATGTTAAAATATCAGCTTGTCCTCCCAGAAATCCCACTTAAACCTGCTTTAATGCTGCACTTTGTTGCACATGGTTCCACTTGCTCACAAGATGTTCTCAATTTCCATGTTAAGGTATTGAACTGAGTTCTTAAACCCTTCCCTAACACAATTCTACTTCTGTACAGTAGAGATCTCCACTGTAAAATTGTTCAATACCAACATTTTTTGATGAAATCAGGGCATTTTCAGAATTGAACCACTCCAAATTAGAATTCCACAACTATCACTAATGTGCACTTGGCAGGTCACATATTTACTATAATATGGTTTTTTTTCTGAAATATTATTAGTGAAATAACAATAAACAAATAAATAACTCTACAAACCAAAACTGTATGATTAATGTTAGCATATATATATATATATATATATACATATATGTTTTAGCATTTGATAGGTGTGTGAGATTTTATATGTTTATTTTAAAGAACACTTTTATGTATGTATGTATTTTTTTAATTTTAATGTTCATCATACATATATGATTTTTAATAATAATGGTATATATATATATATATATATATATATACATATAAATGTTGCTGAGGTATTTAAGTTGCTTTAATATATTCCTCCTGAAGCAAAGCCCTCAATACAATATGTTTAGTTATATACGTATAACAATATGTTTAGTCACAAGAATTTTTATTTTGTAAGAATCAATGAATCTTTTCACTATAGTTTTTTTTTAAAATCAAAATCAAAGTCAAAGTATTAGTTCTTATAGAACATTTCTATTTATAATTCTATAGTAGCAATGGTAATAGATCACTTAATTCTATGTATTTAGATATTTATAACCACATATGTTTTCAAATCTACAAACCATTAAATTTGGTTATGAATATAGACTAAATAAAAAAGATACTTAGACCTAGAATCCTAATTCAAAGAATAAGTCCAAAATTCTTATTAAAGTACATTTTTTTTATTGAAGCAAGCCATCTTTTAGAAGCATAAATATTTTGGGATAGTATAAAATAAGAAAAAAAATACTATGGTATAATTTATTATATAAATTAAATTAATGATACATTTATGTATTTTAATCCTCCATTCAGACTCTCCACTCTCACCATAATTTTTTTCACATCTTCATCACTTTTTACCTTTATTTATTTTTAATTTTAAAAAATTAATTATTTTTTAAATTTTTAATACCATAGAAGAAAAAATAGAAGATCTTGTTGTTATTATTTTTGTTTTGAGGGTAAAGTATTTGTGCTTGTATATAAAAATGTAATATTTTACTAACATGTGAGCATTAGTTGTACTTAAGGATTAATATTATTATTTTTCTTTAAAGACCTTGGAGTTTAATTATACATATAAGGATTCGACACCAAAAAAAAAGATTTTTGATACAAATAAAAAAAATTATTTTATTTAATTTATATGTTTATTTTAGTAAATTGAGTAGGGAATTTATGTGGTATGAACTGAGTAATAATAATGAGTTTTAAGGCATGAAAAATTTATTTAAATAATTCTTAATAATTGTAAATACTGTATTATTTACAATTGTAAGATGTTTTAATAAAATAATATAGATGTATTTACATAAAGTTTTTGTGTATTTTGTTTGAGAAAATATTACATTAACCTACCTAGATCTTAAACTGATCCATTACATAACTTCAAAATAATAATTATGCTAGTTACCTCCCACCTCACCTTAACCATAGTTGTCATTCTTTATTTTCACCTTCAGCTGTGTGTTAATTTTCTCTAGGCCAGTTCATCAATTTGCATAAGCTATCTACCTTTAATTGTTTGTTCTGATAAATTTCGACAAAGTCCTCATGCAACATGGCAACGTATTAGCTGATTTAAGATTTCAATGAGTCAATTATATATATATATATATATATATATATATATATATATAGTTAACGAGTTAACATTAGAAATTCCAATAATAAAATTTGAAGCTTTGTATTACATATTTCATATAATAAGAGCCATGGATGGATCACATATATTTCTATTGACTCTAAAAATTGACAAGAAAGGTTTTACATAAAAAAGAATTAGTTTATTTGACTTCATTTTATAATGTTGTGGAAATAAAGTGTATTTTTTGGAATCATAGATTTAGGTAGGCATATAGACTTCACAACCAGAGTATTAGTCTAAAAAATAAAAATCGAAAGAGTTTGAATATAAGAAAAGCATTTGTAATATACAGAAACTCAACATATTCTTAATTAACAAAGAATCATAGATGAACAGTAATATTTTTTGCATAACTTTGATAATCCCCGAAATCTACACACTATCAACACCATTTTTACTTGCAAAATTAATTATGTATTTATACCTGCTACAAATCATCTACAATTATTTGGCTGTTTTGTTTATGCCAACATATTAAAAACTCGATCTTAAAATATACTAAGATTGATTTAATTTATATGTTGTATTAAGTTAGTTTTTAAAATTCATAATAT